TGGCTGTGTGGCAATAGTAAGGCTTCTTATTGATAATAAAGCCGATATTAATACCAGCGATCAATATAGACGAACACCACTTTCACTGGCCTCCCGGAGTGGCCATGGGGCAGTAGTAAGGCTTCTTATTAATAATGGAGCTGACATCAATACCAGCGATATATTTGGATCAACACCACTTACATGGGCCCTGAAACTGGGCCATGCGAGAGTAGCAAGTATTCTTATTGATGAAGGAGCTGATGGTGATCAATATGGATTTATTCCAACTTTACTAGTTTGACAGAGCGGTCGCGTGACGGTAGCATTGCTTCTTATGCTTGCGCAACAATTGCAGTTCTTCTTATTCCTAGAGGAGGCGATATTAGTATTAGCGATAAAGTGAATTAATATCCGGCCTCTTTATTTTACGGAATGGTCGCAAGGTAATAGCAAGGCTTCTTTAATAAGGGAGCTGATTCATTTTTAGCAATAGCGATAAATCATCACCACTTATATTGGCATTTCGGAATAACCACAATGCAATTTTTGGTCTTCTTATTCATAAAGGAACTAGGATTGAGATTTCTAAAGGGCAAAAGATGCTAGTGTTACACTTGGGAGCAGATGTCCATCCTCGTCCGCTCACTCTTCGCCAGCCGATTCTCGAAGTTCTGTTGCTGAGTTCTGTTGCTGAGCTCTGTTGCTGAGCTCAAAATGATTAAGATCCTTGCTAGCCATATAACACAGCTACCCACGCCTAGAGATCATCACGTTCTATCTAGCCTATGTGTATTTTACTGTAGCTCGAGAATATTCACTTCACAGCTATCTTGAGGCTTCAGCAGAGGGACTAACCTCTTAGTGACATGCTAGAGCCTACGGCGGCGCCAGCTTCACAGCTTCCAGAGAAAGAGCGATTACTACATTCAGCGATATTGGTCAGATAATATGTCTTTTGCCTGAACATGTAGGGAGTACGCGGAACACGCCCATCCTAGCAAGCAATATTGATAACTACAACAACGGCTTAGCAGTGAAATAGCGATAAATTACTTTAAATGCCAATGGTCAAATCTCGTTCTTCTTATGCTCTAAAAAGTAGTGGTGGTGCGCCGCGTTGCTGAAGAGGGTTATGCTAACCATTGTGCGTGAAACAAAGCCGTGTAATTCGGTGATCGGTTGCATCTGGCTGTGAACTGACTACTGCTATCGAAAGCTTGTAGTTATGAGTCATAGCCGATCTATCTAATACATTCTCGGACTCTGATGGTGACGATGATGACGAGGGCGTATCCACTCACACCACTTACATGCAATCTGCGGAGCATGCCTTGGGTGTTGCCTGCTGTCTACCTTTCCTTTCCAGTCTGTCAATTGCAGTTATTGTTTCTAAAAATCGTTCTTTTTCTCTTTTCTTGTTATGAATGATTCTAATAATCCTCTACGACAAGCTCTCTTCACACATATATCTCCCAAAGGACTTACAACGGTAATACCAGGAAGTCTTCAAAGGCAAAAACACACCTGCTCTTCCAATACCATATCTCTTATTCTCATTTATTGACGGATGCGCCAAGCTATCACATTGTTCGCCTGAGAATCTCATACACGGCTAACTAAGCACCATGACCAAGGTCACATTCTCAAACGCGGTGCCTGGTGACTCGAATGAGGATGCTGTGTCGTTGGACAAAACAGAATCAAATCCCGAACAAGCAGTCGCAGTTAGCGAAGACCACCCAAAGTCTAAATCTGAACCCTTCATCAGCATTGAAGACGGCGTTCACACAATTCATGGTGTCGACTGTATTTGGCACAACATGTATGCTGAATCGACATTCACCACCTTCCGCTGGATTTCTCCCTATGATGACATTGACTCGATGTTGATCAAGGTGGCTCGCAATGTGGAACAGGGACTGTACTCCATAATTAGCATGAGTGCATCTAAGCATTCACTTACAGTAGTTTGCGCTTGTGAGAAGAACTGGGAGGGTTTGCCAGTGGGCTGGTACTGCCGTTAAGTCGTTACCTTGATGTAATAAAAAGACTTGGTATCAGAGCATGTTGCGCAGATTCATCTTCTGTAATTCAATGAGGCCATAACTGTGATTTGCTATTATGCGCTCGGAAGGATGTACACGGGCACGTATTACATCTACCTCATGTGATGAGTATAAACGGGAGGAGTCTTGTATCGCATTTGGTGGTAGTGGAGTTCGCGTCTCTCTCCCTCGTTAGATCTTCATTGGGGGTAATTTCAGGCACCTGCCCGGGCTATTACTCCTCGCCGTAGCGTCAGGATGTTGGGTGTTGGGTGTTGGTTCGTTCGACGCTGCATCACCGGCCCCTGTCCTACGAGTTATTTTACCACTGAATTGAGAGTTTAGGCAAAGATGCTGCTGAATATTTGTTGACATAGTCCCCGCCCTGTTTTCCCATGTCTATTTGAAGCATTATGCCGGATGGTATCATATTGTAGATCTTTGTTCCAGCTTTCATTTATACTTGGGCCTGTCTTGGGATCGCACGCGAATTGCCTTGTGATTAAACATCCCAGAATCACTACGCTCTTGATACTACTCGATACTGGTATTCGACAATTCAAGAATGCAAAATGGCTCACAATCTGATGGACGTGAAGGGCAAGACTTCCAGCCTCACAAATGAAGACATATTTGGTATGAATCCCTTTCGCTGGTTGTATACAAGAGTGACATCCTACTAATACTTTTCCTAGCCTCATCTCAGTATGTGTCTACATCCCATCCGCCGAATCAACCTTGGCCTGGGATTTTGACCGTCCGCATTTCTCATGGCAATGGCTTCTCTATACCGGATCAGTACCATCAAGCTGTTAACAGCCTTCAAAGTGGCTCTTCTTTAACACAAGCCGAAATATCCAAGAGGCCGTGGCTCAATCTGAACGGCCGCCGATTGTTGCTGCTCTATGCCATTGTAGAGTATGGCAAATTTTCCGCACGTTCATTATCAGCTTCAGAAACTATTGAGAATCTACGGTGGGAAAACTTAGGATCTTACAGCGTGAAATTTAATGTCTTTCGCGCTGCAGAGTTGGTCTTGAGGTTCTACCTGTGCTATCCTGGCCATGGCCAAGGAAGTAGCGATTTCTTTCTTGGAAAGGCTAGAATTGAGCCAGCGCTTGAAGAGAAAAAGTATACCAAGTGGCTACAAGTGGAAGAGGGCGCTGGAGAAATCTGTGTTGAGATTGAATACACCAAAACCGCGACGCCGGGGATACAAGCGGTCGGTGGCCGCCAAGGTCCAAGTCTTAGGGGCAGATGTAGCCCGAACCCCTGTTACCATTTCCAAGTCGAAAAGCAAGATACAAATTTGCTTTACGCCAGCAAGAAACTTGTAAATGTCGACGCAAGCCATGTATTCTTGTCTCAGGCGGACAAGCCATTCATCGCACCGCTCGATTTCGTTGCTACGATTCCCGAGGGGCTACAGTTATATGCACCACTTATCCATGGAGGGCCACTGTTTTATCACCTTCAGAAACCACGGCGTTTTGATGTTGATCGATGTCGGTTCTATGCCGCCGAGATCCTTTGCGCATTCGAAAGCTTGCTGCAGTCCAACCCTTCATATTGCGGACCCAAAACAGAGAATATCCTACTAGACTCCATAGGACATATTGTTCTTTGCGACTTTAGTCTCTATCATCTAGATATGGAACAACCTGCCCACAGCACCGTGGAATATCCTGCCCCTGAGCAGCTTTTACATGGAAACTCCAGTGTTAAAACATATATACGCTGGTGGTGGACCTTGGGAATATTTCTTTACGAAATGTTAACTGGAATACCACCTTTTTTCGCCGAAAGCATCGAAAAGATACATGAAAGGATTACGTCTAGTGAGCACATCGTGTATCCAAATTCTCTTCCATCATCTGCAAAAGACATCCTAGCCGGACTTCTCGAGCGCAATCCTGAACAGCGACTAGGTGCAAAACGAGGAGCAAGCGAGATCAAACAACACCCATTTTTCGACTGCATTGACTGGAACAAGCTGACGCGACGTGAATATCATCCCGACTTCAAGCCTCCCAAAATTACGATGCCCTTTCCGGAGTCACGCAAAGTGCGAGGGATTGCCAAAGCTGAAGCCATGAGACAGTTGACTAAAGGATCCAATTATGTGAGCTCGTTGCCCACGGGTCAAATAACACGGCCAGCAGCTGTGGACTATAATAAAAACTTCATGGAAATGATGAAAGGGAAATTCCCTGTTGCTGCTGCTTCTCTTCCCCCGCCTCCTCCTTCTCCTCCTTTTCCAGACGTCAAGATACCTATTGATGACAATCCGGATTGGGAGTTGGTTTGGGACGAAGAAGCCAAAGTCTTTTACTTCTACAACCGCTCCAACAACGCAAGACAAATAATTGTGCGTCAAACATCTTTTCCAAGACAGCCTTCGAAGCAAGCTCATGACGGTTCCTCTACGGGTGATGTCCCCAATTTGCCTAGTCAGATCCAGAAGGAGGATGCACTTGAAGCGGTGTTGAAGGCTGGATATACGCATTTGATCCCACAAATACTGCACAAGTATGGTGGTATGGACCTCAACGTTAAGCTTTATGGCTTTCAGAGGGTACTAACTCTGCTTGAATTCGCTGTCGAACAGCAAGACGCAAACCTGCTACAACTGTTCGTTGATGGGGGCGCCACCGATACGTCGGGAACCGCGCTGTTCTTGTCAGTAAAAAAGGGCCATCAGGAACATGTCGCCATCCTGGCCAAGATGGCCGACAGGGTTGATCTCACCAGAGCCTTAGGAAGGGCCGTAGATCGAAAAGATATAGCTGTCATCGATATCTTGTTAGCCAGCGGTGCCAAGTGCAATTTTGAGGACTCCGACCGACCTCCTCCTCCTTCTAGAGGCTACTATTTGCCCAGGATCCCGGACAATGAGGATTATATGCCTCCTCTTGTCCGAGCCGTCAGACTGGGCAACATGGAGCTGGTGCGATTACTGCTCGCACACGGCGCAGATGTCAATGTGGGATACCATGGTCTTCATGGAGAGCGCCAATCTCTCTTTATAGATGTGACGTGCGGAAGGGTGATAGAGGCGGCCATGGAGCTGGGACACCGGGATATGGTTGAGCTGTTTCTAGAGATGGGGGCGGATATTCATCTGCCGCAGCCGACCTGGCAGTTTCACGACTGTTGGATGATAGCGAGGCCGGTTTACCTAAGAGTTAGGACGCAATTGAGGGAGGTTGAAGCGGCGTGGCAATCGACAAGAGATTCGGCTGAATGGGTGGTTGTGTAGAGGGCGATCGTATGTAGTTCTTAATTGCTCTATTTTGTACATGTCTATTGATATCATGGCATCAAATTGCTAAAAACAGAGGCACAACGAAAGCTGCCAAGAGAACGTCATCTTTAAGATCTGAGGTCAGACCCCAAAGCTGACGGCTCGGCTGGTTTCTCGGCAGTGGCTTCGATGCCCATTTTCTACAATCATCCAGCTAAATAGATGTTGCGATTGCAGTTTGTCTGCTGTGGTGAGGGAAGACCTGCGGGATCCCACATCAAGCGTTTACCCTACCAAGCGGATGACAGAAAAACCGAGGCCGACAAGAATTCGAACACCCACGAGTAAATCATACGCCTACAAGTGGAGTAGCTGCTATATCTACAATTCCTTAATAACTGCTACTGTATCTATATTTCTTTTATAACTTTTACTATATCTATATTTCTTTGGTAACTATTACTATATCTATATTTCTCTAGTAACTGCTACTATATTTATATAATAAAATATATATGGTAGAGGTTTACTTGATGATGGATCTGATGAGGATTACCAACCTAACCTTAATGCAGTATTTCCCTTTATCAGCTAGGTGCATTTCGAAGCGGGGTTGGTTAGCTACACCACTCCGAACCAAGCTCGGTAATTTGATGCCTCGGCTGGAGCTTGAATAAGATAGTAGGTAAAGGATCAGATTTAGTTTACATGTACCTCTTACCTCTGACGCCACGTGATGAGCTGTATTGCGGGAGACAAGACGCTTATTCGGACGTAAAATGTGAAACGGGCACCATATTTGAGCCGGGAGTCCGCCTCCAACTGGTGTCTCTCGCACTGAAAAGTAAAACAAAGACCATCGGTTCGTTGTATCTAAAAGTCCGGGTGTGGGGAGGAGCTGGCGCGACTAAAAGCTTTGGCGCTGCATTAGCTTGCTTGAACAGGCACAAGGACAACATTTAAGGCAAGGCCTGAAGCTGGAGCGAATGCGAGGACACTAACGGCAGTCCGCGGGCACCAGCCCGAATCCAGCCTCGACTGTCGTAACGGAGCAAACGGACACTTTCTGCCCACCGATTGATTTGGTTTGATTTGATTGATTGCAATTCCACATGCCAGAGTAGCTTCTGCCGCGGCCTGACTTGGGTTGCGATGCAGGGCCAACAATTGTGACGGCGCGACATACATTTACATTCGTTTCATCTCCTCGGCTAGAAATCCATCTATCGCATCAACTTCACATCTACATCACCATCTCGACAGCCAGCGCCTGCGCTGTTGCGACACACACTGGAAGCTTCGACTCAGCTGCTACATACTATCAGCACTAACAACTAGCAAGCCAGCAAGCTACCTAGCAGTTACACAGCTCTTCTAGCAACCATGGCGCTCAATACAACGGGCATCCCGCCGCTGCAGTTCACGGCCCTCGACGACATCACGGCCCAGTACAACAAGGTCCGCGCCACCTTCAGGTCCGGTCGCACAAGAGACGTCGAGTATCGCAAGCAGCAGATCCGCCGCCTCTACTGGGCCATCGTCGACAATGCCAAGCTGATTGAGCTGGCCCTCAACAAGGACATGGGCAAGTCCAACTTCGAGGCCAACATCTCCGAGATCGACTGGTGCAAGCAAGAGTGTCTCGACGCCGTCGACAACCTGGACAAATGGATCAAGGACGAGGGCATCCCCCACATGCCCCTGCAGTTCTTGGCCATGAAGCCGCGCATCAGGAACGAGCCGCTGGGCGTCATCCTCAACATTGGCGCATACAATTTCCCCTTCCAGCTCAACGTCACGCCCCTCGTTGGTGCCATTGCGGCGGGCAACACCTTTGTGCTTAAGCCGTCCGAGATATCGCCGCACTCGGCCATGGTCTTGAAGAAGATTATGGACGAGGCGCTAGACCCCGATTGCTACGTCTGCTTCAACGGCGGCATCGATGAGACGAAACATATCCTGGAGCACAAGTTTGACAAGATTGTCTTCACCGGCGGCAAGCGGACCGGCACCATCATTGCCCAGAAGGCAGCCGAGACTCTGACGCCCGTGCTCCTCGAGCTGGGCGGCCAGAACCCTGCCTTTATTACCCGAAAGGGCGATCTCAAGATTGCGGCCCGTCGTCTGATGTGGCAAAAGTGCCTGAATGCTGGCCAGGTGTGCCTCTCCCACAACTACGCGCTCGTCGAGCGATGTGTCCTCAACAAGTTCATCGAGGAGGTCAAGAAGCAATACGCCGAAATGATGCCCCAGGGAGCAAAGGCAAGCCCCGACTTTTCCCGTATCGTCAACCAGGGCCACTTCAACCGCATCAAGAAGATGCTAGACAACTCCAGAGGCAAGATTGTCATGGGCGGGTCCATGGATGAGACCGACTTTTTCATCGAACCCACGGTTGTCTTAGTTGACGATATCAACGACAGCATGGTGGTGGAGGAGAGCTTTGGCCCTATCTGGTCCATTGTTCCGTTTGATACCCTGGACGAGGCCATCAACATTGCTAATCAGGTTGACCCAACACCATTGGCTTTGTTCGCCTTTGGCTCGGATGCGGAAACCGAAAAAGGTGCGTCATTCTACAAACATCCCAATTCCTCCCGCTGTATCAGTTGAGAAAACAGAGTATTAACGTCTTCTATAGTCATCAACAGCGTGACGTCGGGAGGCGCCACCATCAACGACGGCTTCTTCCACGCCATGCTCAACCCAAGCCCCATCGGTGGCATTGGATCCTCTGGCACGGGCAACTACCACGGCTACTTCTCCTTCAAGGCCTTTAGCCACCAACGTTCCATCGCAAAGGTCCCAACTTGGGCGGATAAGCTGCTGCGCGTGCGATACATGCCCTATTCGGCCAGCGAGCTGAAGCGCCACCACCGCATCTCCGAGAAGAAGCCCAACTTTGACCGCAACGGCCAGCTTGTCAAGGGCTTGAAGTACTGGTTCGCCGTGCTGCTGAGCTTGGGCTCCAAGAACGCGGCGAGCTTTGCTCTCAGGTGGGGGGTTCTTATTGCTCTGGCTGTGACACTGGGTCTGAAACGCAACTCTTTAGGACTGTGAATGAGGATGAAGAGAAGACGAATGAAGTGAAGAAATAAAGTTGTGTCAAACGCAATGTCTATTGTGAGATGGGTCTCTCTGGTAGCCCCTACGTTTTTCTCTGATTTAGTATTTTGCAAAAGCTTGAAAACTGAGATACCGTGGTTTGTCAACTACCTTTATGTATTATTATATAACACGCTTATAACATGCTTCGTTGGCTGCTTCATACTAGAAAACAAACAAATAATTACATGTCGGTAGTGACCAGGCAGCACCCCAGATTCAGGGATCTATCCAGCACCCCCTTATCCCAAATTTACATCGCAGAGTGATCGACATATGGGGAGCCATCTAGAACAAGAGACGTGTAAGTCAGCTTACAGGGACATTATTAAATCCAACGTCGTGGTATAACTCACATCCATAAATCGCCCGATAGCGGATCAAGGCTCAGGCTCAGGCTTTATTGGCCGTTCCATCGCTACCTGTTCTCTCAGCTGAAGAATGTGTGCCCTCACTATCCCCCTGTGCCGCGCACACTCAACAATACGTTGCTCAACCACGGCCGTGAACTCCCGTGTCTGCAGCAAATATTGCTCATACTCCATCGTTTCTTGCTCCCACTTGTCAGATATTGTCTCGTACGCACTCGTAAGCGTGTTTTTGCGCCACTCGATGTAAGCGAGGCGGTTTCTCAGGTGGTTGATATCGTGGTCAATCTGTCGCATACCCTTGAGCATGGCGTACATAGATTGTTCGAGAGTTGGATTTTGAACCATGTCCATCGTGGGACATAAAGTTGGATAAATGAAAGAAGCAAAAGAGTTAGGATATGGCGAGGAGAGCAGTAGAATAAAGCTGCGTTTGGAGGTTTCGGAAAGTGGTTTCTTATTTTAAAAAAGAAGCAGAGAGCAATTCTAGGGCAATGGCATTATTTATAAGATGTCAATAAACTTTGTGCCAGAGGCTTCATTACACCTTACTTGGCGAATAGTTTACGCGGAAGCGTCTTTCCTGATGGAGAATAATTTACAAAACGGCTAAAAGACCAAATGCTTAGATGGCGAGACTACTGTGGCCATCATACATAGGTAGATAGAAATGCATGATGAAATGATTAGTAGTTTCCATCTCTTGTACTATCGTGAGTACGTCTCAGTCGACCAGAAATAAGGCTCCTCCGCCAGATTTTGATCTAAGTATCTGAACAGATACATCATTTTCAACTTTTGAGAAACAGTGCACGAAAGAAGACTTACCGTTGAGTCGAAACAGTTCATCGAAAGCGGAAGGAAGTCCTTCAAGTATCGGTCCGGTTCTAAGATCAAACAGTCGAGGCGGCTGTATGTTCGCTAAGTTGTCCTTATTGCTCGGTCATTGCTTGTAGGAGACACAGATACCAGCGACTTCTAAGCCAACAGAGCAGGCTTGTACATAAATCAAGCCAAACAGCGTTTCTTGTGAGAGCCTTCATAATGGATTTGGACAATGTCCAATATCTTGCATCAACATTACAGGTTTTGCTATTCCTCAGTCTTTTCTATCGTCCAGATAACGCTGCAGCTAGCCTTTTCCCTCGCTCTCCTCCCAAGTAAATGTCGTCGTCTGCCGACTCTCTTCCAAATTCGACTGCCTCATGGTATCCCCTCGTCACAGTGTCTTCATCAATCTTGACCCCATTCTCTACCAGTGCGAGGATGACACTCCTACACCGCGCAATCTCTCTCATGGTGGGGACGTCGATGTGATTGTTTTGGCTCGAATAGATTTGAGAGCTGACGCTTTCCTCCATGCGGTTGATACCCGCCGCCTCGGCCGCGACATCGCTCTCGATGTGCTTGCTGATCCAGATGTAGCCGTTGACACCCAACAGGACGTCAATCTTGCTGCCTGCGTTGGAAGTCTCCATGGTCCACAGCTGGCGCTTGGAACGCACCACGCCTCCACCGCCTCCCGTGCCACCGACGGCGACAAAGACGCCGTTCCTCAGCTTTCCGTACTTCAAACTGCGGGTGTGCAAGCTCGCAGCACCGTCCTGATGCAGCTGCTGAACCTCGGCGACGAGGAGATCACCCTCTGAGAAGAAGCTGCGGATTTGGAGCTCGTCTGTCTCAGTCCGCTTGCGGAGGATGCCACCGGGGAGGTTGATGGCAGAGATCTGGAGGATGGCGAGCTGGGCTGCGGCGACATCGACGCGCCAGCGCTTGGCCTGGACCTCGACGATGCGGCCGACAACGAGGTCACCGATCTCGGGGTTGTAGCGCGCCCTCAGGGGACGCACTGAGAGCAGCTTGTTGGTGCGGGTGAGTGTGCCGGCAAGAGAGGAGGTGATGGAGGTGGTGTTTGGGGGGACGTATGTGCCGTGACCACTGAGACAGGTTAGCAAATGATGAATTTTCGAATATTTTGGTATTGTGAGCGCAGATGTTCTTGTGTGTATCAAGATGTATGGTTGATACTCAGAACATCAGTTGATGTAGAGATTGAGGAGGAAAAGAACGTAGGGGAAAGATGGAGAGAATAGGTGAGAGAATAGAGGGGAATAGTACCGCATCCATTGAGCATTTGACGTGATCACTGTTCCAGGAGTGAGAATCTCGTCTCTGGTGTCTGTTTGCTCTTCATCTTCATCCTCTTCGTCCACATGCATGCTCTCGCCGTCGAGCATGGGAATGTCGCCCTCAATCGCTGCGCCGCCATTTTCTGAGTCTGACTCTGAATCTGAAGGAACATCCATATCGATGTCTACTGCACGCGGCCGCCGCGGTGCCGGCGCGTTTGGCTGCGGGTTGTGAATTGTGATGGGCATGGCGGGCTGTGAGATGATGGTTTTTTTCACTTGTTTTTCCTATGCGTGAGGAATTGAAAGGCGAAAGGGCGCCAATATTTGGCGGCTAACCTGCAGGAGACTAGGTCCGACCTTTTCTCAGTAGATGAATACGATTCTTGTACTTCGGTGCGCTGGATTGATGCTTTTGTGTTGATTTAGTCGTTTGAGTTGATGCTCTTTTGGGTTTGTATGAAAAAGTTGGTATGAAAGGTTGAAAGTGGGGCCGGTATTTGGTGCTGGCGGCCTGGTTTTGTTTGATGAGCCACCAGAAAGCAAAAACGGCGGAGCTGGCAGAGCGAATGTTACAATATTACCACGAAAATTTATTTAGATTTGCATTTTCAGATAATAAAATTAAAATTTCGGATGAACTTTTGATAAAGTTTCTTTTAATAGTATCATATCTACTACATATGAGACTTGAATGCCATTCGACAGTAGCCGTACGGTAGCACGTCTTACTTCTTGCGTGTCTACAGAATAAGTGTAATACAGTTTCGATGCGGGAGCCAAATCAAGAGAAGAGATAATTCAATCCGTGTATCTATCCAGGTAGCTTGATTCCCATGACCGGAGATCGCGTGCGCCGTTTTGTTTTCCGAGAGACCATATCCATATGCCCCTGCTTAATCATACATAAGGTAGTACACTAATATACACAAGGACAGCCGTTGATATTAATACAATGAGCCATAGCCGTTTGGACACAATGCTTCCATTCGTACATGTATTCATGAGAGAATGGGGCGCCAAATCAGAGGGCAGCTCATTCCTTCATCCGGGGTCATTCATCGTATCCTGCAAAACATGTACAGTCCATCGTAGATCCTTTTAGTTTGTGCAACGTGAGAGGCCAAATGACCGCATTCGCACAGCTGCAAATAAAGACACCAATGCCTTAATCTCATTTCAGAGCTCTCCAAAGGCCCATCCATGCGAGAGCGGCCGAGATGGTGACGATGCCAGCCCTTCGGCTCCTCATGCCGAACATCGACTTGCTCTGAAGAATGACGGCCCGTTGCTTTTCGAGCTGCGACATGCCTGAAAAGTAGCTATAGCCAGCAAGACAGAAAAACGCACCACTCCCTACTTCCCTGTCAGCTTCTCCTTGTCCAGATGAGACTGCCCTCGCATGAGACCATTACCAACCTATAACTTTGCAGCTCAAGCAGTCATCGCCGCGGTCCTGGCGCAAAATGTCCTGAAGCCGCTCCGGTTTCTCAAGCGACTGAAGAGTCGGAATCTTGTCGCCGGCCATGTTGAAGAAGCCGCTAGTTCAGTAGTTGAGGCACTCAAACTCGAAGCAAGATCAAGAACAATTCGATAAGAAACGCCTGATAATGGTGGGTTTTCAAGCAGCTTATGCAGCGACGTGAGGTGATTGGCGCAGCTGTGTTAGTCAGCACAATCCACCACCGAGTTTCGTCATGCTTAGTTGCGCGACTGGAGAGCTGGAGCTTGTGGCCTTGAACCTTGGACAAGGCGCTGAGCCGTCACCATGAACGGCGTTATTGAAGCGCTGCACATCTACGATGACAACAGGTAATCTCTCAACATCCTATAGGCCCCTCCAAGCACTGCTGACAGGTGTAGGAATCCCATTCTATCGCATACCTACACGGGACGGCCCCTCTCAGCTTCCCACCTTCTGTCTCTCTATCTCGAGCATCCGTTTCCTCGGCCGAGCCTGATCTACCTCCCCAATGCAAACCCTCCGACGCTTGTCTTCAGCCTGACGCACTCCAATCTATTATTTCTAGCTACCTCATCGACCGAAATCGAACCCCTCCTCGTGCTCGAGTTCCTCCACCGGATTGTGGACGCCTTCGAGGACTTTGTTGGGGCACCCTTGCTGGCTGTCAAGCTGGAAAACAACTACGATGTCGTCGCTCAGCTTCTAACGGAGATGTGTGATGCAGGGACCGTCAGTACGACGGAGCCCAATGCTCTACGAGAAGTGGTGGAGATGGAAGGCTGGGTCGATAAGTTGCTGGGTAGCATCAACTTACCTGGGTATGGACAGACCTGCAACACTTCTGCAAATAATGGATATGCGTCTTTCGACTAACTTTGAAACAGGAAAAATCCACTCAACACAAATTCAAACACACCGTCCCTGATAGCTTCCAACACGCCAGCGCTGCCTTGGAGACGGGCCAACGTACGGCACACGTCAAACGAGCTCTACGCCGATGTCGTCGAAACCCTCTCCGTCACGCTTGCTCCTTCAGGAAGGCCTTTAGCTGCATTTGCTAATGGGACAATTGCATTTACGTCAAAGGTGTCAGGCGTTCCAGATGTTCTGGTGACCCTGAGCAGTCCGTCAGGGAAGCATAATATCGGTGGCATCATGGAACTACCTGTCTTCCACCCATGCGTTCGGCTAAACAAGTGGAATGAACGACCTGGAGAATTGAGCTTTATACCACCCGATGGACGGTTCATCCTAGCCGGTTACGAGGTTGACCTGTTACCTTTTACAAGTGGCAAGAGTGGGAGCGTAAACTCAAACAATCTCAAGCTTCCCGTTAACCTGGAGATGAAAACCGGCCTTGGACCTGTGGGATCCGAATTCGAAGTCAGGTTGCAAACCAACAAGATTTTTGGCACCCCCAATTCATCATCAGCGGCAAGCCAGCTGGGGCGTGCTGCAGGCGTACCTGGAATCCCTGGACGGTTGTCATCACCGCATCCTGGAACCCCAAGCTCGCCACTACTAGATGACTTGACAGTCACTATTCCTCTGCCTGAAGACGTGAGGAACCTGTCTGATATCAGACCGTCTAGGGGGGATGCAAGCTTCAACAGGGCCGAGGGGCGACTCGAGTGGCACATCCCCGCAAAGGAGATATCTGGCCCGACGTCTCATTTTGGATTGAGGTGTACGGTAGTGGGGTCTCTAGCTGAAGACGATGAAGGGGAAGAGTTTGATCCTACGGGATTCGGGTTTGGCACTGACTATTCATACAACGAGCCATACCAAAGCACACCGGCTGCCAAAAAAGGGAAGGAAAAGCAAGGTGCGGATGATGAGCAGGACCCTAAGAGGGTAGCGCAGAACAAGATTCTGATGCCTAGTTCGGCATCTGTAAGCTTCTCCGTGAAAGGTTGGCTGGCGAGCGGGCTGAAAATTGAAAGCATTGTAATAGACACAAGGAAAAGCCGAGGGCTGGGCGAGGGTGTGAAGCCTTACAAGGGCGTCAAGTATCTGACAGTTAGCAAGGGAGGAGTAGAGATTCGCTGCTAATAGACAGCTAGACTGCGTTTGAATTGCGTTGCTCGCCATTGTTCTTTAGCAGTATCATATCCCTGCTTAAGCAGGCAGATGGAGCGTCATGCTCGTACTCGTGTTGGGATTTGAATAGTATAAGTCGATCCAGTCAATACCCGAATCAAGTCCGGAGCAACTTCACCAGTACTGACATCCCCCGGCAACTGCACACCAATAAATACCGTCAACAGATCCTTTGGGCCCAACAATTTCAATTGCCCCAACGAACAGCTGCAGCTTCCAGTAAGCGGAAGCCCTTAAAGATGCCGGAATCTGCAGCCCTTTGGCATTGCCGTGGCTAGGTATTTGCTAGTGCAGATGCTACAGCTCGGTGACAGCTCGGGAACAGCCACTTATAACGCTGTGCCCCACGTGCTTCTTATCCTGGTGCGTCACTGCTCCTTATCCTCTTATCCTCGGATGAGCTGCTACAGTGCTTCTTCGCTTCTATTTGGCCATTCCATATCCACCCTGTCATGCCGATTCTGGCCGTATAAAGCGCAATCATCGAGCTGAGAGAACACGGAATCCCCGTGATTCCAACCTTGGCCGTCGCGAGGCCATGAAGCGCTTTGGAGGTCCTATTCTGCATTGCCGGCGTAGCGCGAGGGTCAGCCGAGATGCGTCATCGCTGACATGGACTTCGCGATGCTGCGCGCCGGCATCAAGTGAACATTCAGTGCGATGGAGCTCGAGCAGGCCTGGAAGGCCGCGGACGGCGATTTTCTTCCCGGGTGAGCTTTACCTGTGCGATTGCCGAGGTTTAGAATAGCTCTTTGTGACTGATGCGAGCTTTGCGCGAGTGTGGAACAGGTCAGGGAGTGCAAAAGGTTGGCATGCTGTCGCCTTGGCTGGAGGCGTTTCCCTCGACAGCTTCGCAGATTATCGAAGAGATTGACCACTGCGCTGGGTTCAAAATCTCCGACGTCATACAGAATGGCCCGTCCAAAGTGCTCACCCAGACGACCATGGCCCAGCCTGCCATCATGGCCACGTCCATCTTCATCTTGCGCATCCTCGAGCGCGAGTTCAATTTTCGAGTTGCCGACCATTTCGACTTTACGCTGGGACATTCTCTGGGCGAGTTTACTGCATTGGTCGCTGGCGGATACATTGCCTTTGAGGACAGCTACTATTTAGTGCAGCAGCGCGCGGCTGCGATGTCGGAGGCGACGAAGAAGGCTATACAGGAGTATGGAGGCGAGTACGGCATGGTGGCTGTGATTACAGAGCCGGAATATCTACAAGGCTTGATCAAGGCGATTCGGGATTTCGTTGGCCACTCGAGCGATGGGAGCAAATCGGAGAGCAACCAAGATGTGCCACCGATTGAGCAAGTGTTGATCGCCAACATCAACAGCAAAAACCAGATCGTGTTGAGTGGCAACATGGAGAGAATCAAGATGCTTATAGCGCATGTTCGCCAGTTCTTAGGCCATGACCCACGAGCGGTGCGACTTCACAGCGACAGCCCCTTCCACAGCCCCATCATGAAGCCTGCGGTAGCTGTTATGAAGACGCTGTTGGAGAAGAAGAGTCGCGTCCCAGGCCGAGAAAACGAGGATATCGTTACCTTTCCAGGACTGATGCCGTGCATCAGCAATGTCTCCGCCAGACCGTTCCAAAGCAAGGAGCAGCTAAAGGACCTTCTGGCGAGAGGATGTCTCGAGACGGTTCGATGGTGGGCGGCAATCAAGTACCTCGACCAAGAGGAGAAAGTCCGGCGATGGGTTGGTATCGGCCCCGGCAAAGTGGGCAGAAACCTGGTAGGAAAGGAGGTGGGCATGAGAGGAAAGGATCTCGTCAAGGGAGGAGGCGTATGGGCGATTACAGACCCGTATGAGGTGGAAGAGGTGCTACGAGGGTTAGAAGAGACGGCAAATATCTTAGATGATGAGGATGAATGAGGGATGACAGTTTATAGATATCCAGGTTGGAGGACTCAGTTCCGGTATATAGGGTTCCGTGTATGAGTAGGGTAAGGTGAGTAGAAGACGGCGAGCAGATCGGCATGACGGATGCGCCCAAGGGTGTTATTTTGTAGGCGAATTGTAATATTATTTAATGATTATTTTTCTTTTTTAAATTATTGTACTTCAGCTACATTGATCAAAAATAAGGAGACTTTGTTACCATGTGAGGCGAGAAAAGTGAAGCTTTTAGAGATGGCCGAGACCAACCCCCACCAAATGGCTGTACTTTATACGTGCATCCTAATCCTTGCCCACTGCAGCTAAGCTCCTGCACCTCAACATCAACCGCAACCTCTCCAAACCACACACAAACGAACCATGTCAGCCGCAATACCTTCTGTCGCCTGCCTCGGCGTCATCGGGCGCAACGTAAGATTAGATTTCTCTCTCCTCTCTCTCTAGAAGCTAGAAGAGCGCAACAAGATTGGGCCAGCAGCTGACGAAATCGCACCCGCAGAACAACCCCCTACACATCTCCATCTTCCCTTCCTACGATCCAACCGCCAACGCCTTCACGCCGATCCGGAACCCCCTGCAGTTCTCCCTCCTTCTCTCCTCGACAATCGACGTCTTCGACCTGCGATCCAAAACCAGCACTGCGTCGGGCGACTTTGGGCTCCTGCACGCCATCGACGACCGCCTCGCGGCGTATGGCTTCGAGACCAACACCGGCGTGCGGATGGTCTGCATAGTGGACATGCGCGGACGACGCGTCGAGGCGGGAGGTAGCGGCGTCGCGGGTCAGGGCGGTGGCGCGGCGGGAGCATCGACAGCTTCTTCGACTTCGGCCTCGGCGGCGGCGCGATCGTCTGTGGGGAGCGTGGGCGCGGGATTGCGGGATTCGGAGATCAAGCCTGTGTTTAGGGCGATGCAGAGCGCGTATGTGCGGCTGCTGCAGAACCCGTTCTACGATCCGGACGAGCATGCGCCGCTGGGGGGGAAGGGTGGGCGGAGGATCACGAGCAAGAAGTTTGGGGATGACATGAAGAGGATAGGGGAGGCGTGGACGCCTGGAGTGACGACTCTGTGAGGACGCAGGTAGACGGAGGATGTTGAGAATGACAGAGAGAGGAAGCTGTGATAAAGGGTAGGGCGATTGGGCATTTGCATTGGCGTTTCGGCGGGTGGGCTGGCTATTCATGATATCCATGATTGATATGGTGTACAACTAGCGAGATTGCGAGATGTCGTTTGGTTTTTGGCCCGGGCATTGTTTTCCTGTCTAGGGCATGTAGGATTTTGTAATGGTTATAGTCCATCTTCAATACATCTCTTGAAATCTTCAGCCGTCTATATGTCTATCAAGTAGTCCATGACTACTAGATCCACAACAACTATATATATATATATCATCTATGCCCCTTTGCTCACTCCTTTTCCTCGCTCTGCTTCTTTAAATGTTCAATCCTCCATTTCGATAGTCCTGCTACTTCTTCTACCTCCACGCTCTCCCCCATCTTCTCTGCGCTGTCCACAGTCTGTTTCACCATGGGCTTCACTTTATAAGGCTTCGACGCCTCTCCCCCTTCCCAGTGCCGTGCCTCTATTGTTAACGGTTGCCACCAGTCTCCTGTTCTAGCATGCCACCTCGCGCTGCACAGCTCCCATAACCGCGATGCCGCTCTCTTATAAGCGAAACGCTCGTCTTCTCCCGTAAAGGCCCCTGTGTTACCAAAGTCCACTGGCCGCTTCTGCAAGCCAAAATCGGAATCCTGGTCCGGGTCGTACTTTGACGTGGCAGATCTGGTGTCGTAGTAGGACACGTTGGGGCGGAAGGGGGAGATTTGATCCTGATAGACTTCGGCCACGGTTTCGGAGTATGTCGCATCGTCGGCGCCGGTGTTTGCATTCCCGCTGCTTTCATCGGATTCTCCTGATGACTGTGTAGGCAATGATGTCTCAGGGAAGAAGAGGTCGTCAGGAGGGTTTTCGGCGCGGATGATGAGCTTGCAGCGAGCTTCGTACATGGCGTCGAGAAGGGTGATGAAGCGCCTTGCTTCGTTTTTGCTTAGGATGGTCAACACGGGAACGCGGTCGATGATGAATGTGTGGTAGGTGGAGGCCATTGTGAGATAGTCCGCTGGTCCGAATGATTCGACGAGCTTGTCAAAAGTCCAAAAGACGAAACCAATGTAGTGGCGCGGAGTGACAATTTGACGACCATAGACGATGAGCTTGGACGGCTCCCACGGGATTGGCTCGCTGTTGGATCCTGAAACGGCTTCTTGAACTTTCTGAGTAAACGTTTGCTCATCTTCATCAACGAGATAATAGTAGTGTGGCCTCTTCTTGGTTTTGCTCTCATCTTCTCCCTTTTCAGCTGGAGTGGTGATGCGCACAACACCATTGACATCTTCCAACCGATTCACAGAAGCATCAGGACTGGAATGCTCTTCTCTCCGCCGCCAATCTTGGGCTCCCTCCATCTGCCAAAAATCGCATCTAGCCTTGAGGACCTCTAGAAACGCAGCAAAATCGCTCGTTTGGCCGAAGAGTTCGCCTCGATTGCGCGTCGCGCTCCCAAATATCTTGCCCATGATACCCCTCGATGTCGGGGCGTAATCAATGCCCGTAGCGTTCTGCAGCTCCTCCGGCATCCGATTTGAGGATGCGACAAGGACTCCGCCAAGTTGGAAGAAGGTAACGAACAAGTTGCTGAGAATCTTGCTAGCAGCACGATCTGGGAGCTGGAATTCGTCGAGGAAGAGGATTGGAGAGTCGTCGATGAGTTTCTTGGCCATCCAGAGGAGCGAATATTCTGCGGCTGCATCTGAAGACTGGGGGTGTGACTTTCGATGATTCTCGAGCTGCGATAATGTGTAGAGCATGAACGTGTTGAAATGCCATCGCTTCTTCTTCTGCGTTGGCAGACCCTCAGCCAGAAGATCCAGAAGCATCGACTTTCCCGTGCCAACTTCTCCAGAAAGAAACAGTCCCTTGGGAGAATCGATGTCAATAGCTGTTTGGTGATTAGTAAGAACTCGAGTAAGAGCAAGACTCTCTCTACCCTCAGGCGTGTTAAGTAGATGTTTGAATATGGGATTCCGCCATATTGAGTGGTGGCGAAGGGCCAGGATACCCTCTCCGGTTTCTTCCTGCGGTGGCTTTTTGGGTTCGGTGAGTCGGGCTACTTGATCTAGCCGCTGGCGATAATCAGTCTGGGGAGAGTAGTCTTTTATACGGACATATATCTTGTGCAAATGGCGTGCCAGACGGTGTTGGGCCGGGTCGGGAGAGTAAACACCTGCTGCAACTAGTGACTGGTATTTGACCAAAGGGTCGGTGATGATGACGGCCGTGGAAAATTTCCTCATGCTGATTATATGGCTCATCTCTCTAGTTGTTCACAAGTGGTCATTTAGCATGTGATGCCTCAAGATTTCCTGCTTGATATTTCTGCCATCTACGCTCTGGTCATCGTGGCGGTCCGGTATATAGAAGCGAGGAGGCGTGAAAGGGGAGGATATAGAACGATGAGGAGAATTGTACCAAAGAATCTCTAGAATACGAATAAAGAAGGAGATGTCCAAGCGTTTACAATAAATACAGTGTAGAGCATCCAAATGTAGTCAGATATGTGATTGTCTTAATTGACATCGAAAGATTGTCCATGTGCTAAATTTTATAACACCCGAGGTTGTCTGGCAGTAGCTGTAGCTTACCCTAGGAAGTTCGCGGGAGTAGCTGAGCTGTTGCGAATACAGTAGCTGGAGATGCTAAATACCGTACATACCTTACACTCACAGAGACATCTTTCTACCTGCGGTCACCCGTATCCAGTAGCAGTTCTCAGCCCTTCTAGGTGGTTGGTGAATCAGTACTGCATGTTATTTAATTGTATTTAAGTCAATCAATGCCATTGAGCTACTGGAACAAGGTAACTGCACTGTATTTGATACCGTGATAGATTGCGTGTTGGGGATACGGAGTACCTTTTAATCGCGGCAAAAATACATGCCGGCCATTGTACTTGTGCACGGTTCTCCAGCTATGACTTTTTTTTCTCCTTGTCACAGATGTCTGACGACAGTGTGATTGCTTTTTTTTTTGTTGATTGTTACCCAGTATGCAGGTACCTTCTAATAGACTAAAAGCTGACCGGATACTTGTTCCTGAGGTATCGCGTGGGTACGTCAATTCGGCGCGCCAGAGCAACGCTACTTAGCAGGTACATCTGATTGCAGTGTAAAATATGTAGAAACCCACGTACCTATGCTGTCCCCACCTCCGTGCGCTGGGGATTCTGCCCATTTGTTTTTCCACCGCCAGGAGACCAATGAATCCAAGCAGCTGTTTTGCTTCTCTCACGCACTACACCACATTTGCCCTTTGGCCTGTGGAGGTCAATCTTGCATCCTTCATTGCCCAAGTACAGGCATTTCGGCATGCCCTTCTGAGTCTCTTTCCATCATCGAATCCATCTCCCGAACCCCCCCGGAACCATCAGCTGCTGCCATCGCGACTCGCGCGCCCGGCGCGATCCCTGCGATCTCAAATTCCAGTCCATCGCCTGGTTCAGCCTTTCCGTCAGCCATCATGTTTTCTCCATCCGCGAACGAAGGTGGCCCGGCCACGGCGACTCGCTCCCGACGGCGATTGCGCCCTAAGAGCCAGGAGCAGCTCGTGACGGCTCCGAAATCCAAGAGACAGCGCGTGCCTCTGAGCGAGCAAACTTCGACCAACAACGATGCCCAGCCCGAGATAGCTGAGGCCAGACCGGAAAAAGTTGCAACACCCGTCGAGCCCAAGAAGGATGTTGCCGTCGAAAACGCTCCTCCGACACAGACCGTATTGCGCAAGGAGCTGATTGTGCGGACGAAGAAGCCTAAGCATGGCGATCGTGCTGCCCAAAAGGGTGATGGGAGCCTCGTTCTGGTATGCCGCAAGCTTCATCCTCACTCCCCATGTCGCATCAAGTTCTTCATCAACTCCCCCATTGTCGAATGCTAATATATTTTTCCCTTTCTCTAGACAAGCACCAATGCGTATACTGTCAGCAAATTGCCAGCACTGCCAGACAGAATCCGGAGTGACTGGTCTGGTATGTTTTGTTCAATTTTTTTTTTCGCACATGCGACATCGCGTTCTAACTTGAGCAGGGAGCCAACACGCCGACATTTTCTCATC